GAGTCCTCGTCGGAGCAATGAAATTTTTTCCCTCTCTGTCCAATGAAAGAGGGAGTCATTAGTATTTACCATTTGATTCTTTGTGGCTGACCGCTGGCGAAGCCAATTAACGTCAAACTAGGTCGTTTCCCAACTTTCCTCGGATTTCGTCTCTTTTTTTTTTCCTTTTCTGTTTTTTTCTTTTTTTTTTTTTTTATTTCAATCCCGTCGTTTCGGCGCCCATTAAATTCCCCCAGTTCGAAATTTTTTCTCGTCTATGAAAGAATCCTTCCCCCAGGAAGATTTTCGGACTCGTACTTCGATTTCCTCCCTCTTCGATTCTCGACGGAACTCGATAATCGCCGATAATTCTCAGAAGCGAAGGGAAATGATTAATCTAAATAATCGAGATTCCAATTGGTTCCAATTTCCTTTCGGAAAAAGAGAAAAAGGAAAGGGGGGGGGGGAAGATATGTCTCGTGTTTATAAATGGACAAAATTTTTGTTCGCTGATAATCTGATCATCTCCGTTTGAAAATTCTCCGAATGAAAAATATTCAATTAATCGCGCGATCGAATTTCACTCGAGGGGGAGAGATTCCGCGATACACGTTATTGCTTAATTCAACGAAAATCAATATTATTCTTTTCCAAGTGTATCCCTGCCGCGCACAAGTATCTAAAATATATGGCAAATCGTTGATCGTTTCAGCAGCTTTTGTTACTTTCTTAACGAGATGTTTCTCGTTTTTGTCCACTGTTGACACGCACGACGCCCGGTTTCTACTACGGGGTAAATTTATGAAACATCAAGCCGGCGAGTAAAAGGTTCTTATCGCAATCAAGGCAGTGTTTTAATTAAAATCTCCTTCCCCGTTACGCGCCGAAATTAATTTCGCAAATTTCGTTATACGATATCCAGAGATGCCCGGGCGATTTCGCGTCTATTTCGCTCGTTTCGGCCGGGGATCAAAATTTCATAAAAATTAATAGAGCGTAAAGACGCGGCCGCTTATGCAAGCACTCGCGCACTCGACTTGTGTACCTCGCACGGGAAACTCGATCGGATTAAACGATCTCCTCTGTCCTGATTAGTCATACGAACCAACCACCGAAATCATCTCTCGTTAAACGTTCTGCAAGCCACGAGATTACGTTCGGCGTCGATGTCCTTTGTCAATGAACAGGATGATGGCTCCAGTACGTTGGCGCAGTTGATGAAACGTATTTGCCACTGTCTCTGTACAGTTACTCGCGGTTAATAATAGGAATGACTTCTCCACGATTCTCTCTCGTTGCTTTCTTTTTTCTTTTCTTTCTTTTTTCTTTTTTCTTTTATCGTCGCTCGTTACGTTTGTCCAATCGAGAACTTTGCGTTGTTCTTCTAACAGCGAATATTAAATAACGACTCGAGCGAAGGGAATTCCTTCGAAACGTCTCTCTTTCGTGCGCGCGCGTAATTTCCATCAATTAGCGAGCAATCCGGATCTCTTTCGTTTTCATTTTCATTCGCTTACCACTCGGAGAGAATTTGATCATCGATCGGTGCGCGTCGCGCCGACAGAATAATATAACGTAACAATATAACTTTTGTTTCGTTTTGTTTCTGAAACGAACGAGTCACGCACGGCGCAAGCTAGTGCATGTTTGCCAATTTTTATAATAACGAACCTCGTCTCGTAGTTCATTCACCTTCCGTTTATGCTCTCTCCGATTTTTCTTTTCGCGGCTGATTCATTATTCATACCGCCCTTTTAATTTAATTTCCTCGATGCTTCCCTTGAGAGTTCAACGATCCTTCTGACAGTTTCAATTATCGTCAACAGTTCGTTTTACACGCCTTTTCTTCTTACTATCCCAGCTCGCGATTTTCACTCGTGATTCAACAACACTCCTCTCGATATACAGCTCGCATCGACTGCTCTATCGAGCATAATCCAAGTCAAACGTCAATCCCTATTTCTGGCGGAGTTTTTTAATCGCCGCTCGTTCGAGGATCTCCGCAAGACGTTCCGAGTTTCTCGACGAATTTCATCGCCCCCAAACTTAATCTTCCGACGTTCACGATGCTGTTGGAAACAGAGCTGTGCCCGCTCCGTTTACTCGAACGTCCAACAACTAACGTTATTGTTGCCCAACGTCGAAAATCTCTGCGCAACGTTCCTAATTGCCGGAGCACGAGTGCCGAAACTCGTAGCTTCTACGAAGCTAGACATCGTTGGCGGTAATCGGTTTACACGATCTTCGAACAGCTTTAAAACACCGGGCCGTATCGCTCTTGACACATTCGCGACCGCTGCCGTGAATTCACGTCTTTGCAAGTACTTTGCAAAGGTCTTTCAGTACCTCATTTCAAAAGCAAATTTTCCAATCTTTGTTTTAACGTCTCTGTTTTAACGTCAGAAATTACCCCGGGATTTTCTTCATTTTTCACAGTGGTTACAGTGTCCCGGCAAGGTTGTAACTCGTAACATAAATTGACTCGTGGGAAATTGTTGTATAAACGCGTTAAACGGTCGCAATAGCGTCACACTCTCGTGAGGCAGTTAGCGTTAGGTCTTTGAGGATTATGCAGACATTTTGGCAATGTAGCGCGTAGGTGTTCCATTTGAGATCGAGACCTGAGAAAGTAAGAAACACAGCGAGATACAACACGCAGAGGAAGGGGCAGAGGAGTTGTTACGTAAATGCGTACTTCGCAGGCCAGCATCGAGTATCTTTTACGTATCTTCTCTGCGTCAGCCGGTCGTAAACGCTCTGTTACCATTTTGTTTCCAGCAATGCTGCTGATAGCCTCAGCTATGGCGTTCGTCTCCTCTTCCCCTTCCCCTTACGCCGCTCGTTCGCGTAAAGCAAAGTTGCAGCTGAGAAAGCGAGGGAGAAAGTTCGACGGGAAAGAAAACGGAGCAAAGGGACGCAAATGCACACAGATAGATAGACGCGAAGAGACCGGGAAACGGGACCGGGAAGATAAAAGTGAAATGTCTGGGGAAAAAAGTGGGCGAGGCGGAAAGGAAGGAGATGAAAGGGACGCGGAGAGAAACTCTTTGGAACACGTTCGGTCGCTTCGTCAATCGATACGCTCGGAGAAACCATTGTAGCCAGATAGGCATCGCCAGCATTGCCACGTTATTAAACTTTACCGCTTCTTCTTCTCCTTTTCTTCTTCTTCTTCTTCTTCTGTTTTCTTCTCCCTTCCTTTCTTTTTTTTTTTTTCTTTTTCGAATACACTTGGCAATTCGCAACGCAGGAAGACTGAAATTAACTCGCCAAACGTTTGACACGTTGACGACGGTTTCTTTCCTTTCTTTCTTCTTTTTTTCTTTTTTTCCTCTCGGTAATTCGAACTCCCCCGAGTCGAAATCGAAACAGTTTTCGAACGGTGGTGTATGGCAGGCAACAACGGTTGGATATTAATCGCGGGATGTTAAAGACTCGTCTACGTCTGCGATAGACAGGTTACGCAGTCGAGCAGACTCGGACGATCAATCGGCTGTTTGGGAAATCGAACGGAGACGGATTTCACGGTGTGTAACGCTGCCGCGAGGCAATCTAATCGGAAAAAGGATCGGCCAGCGCGTGAAAATTCGCAAGGAACACCGGAGTACGAAAACTTTGCGACACGAACGCGATCCATCGATCGTGAATCAACCCTCAGTTGTGGCAGTTTCGTCGGTTGGCGGCTCCTTTTGCATTTACGTAGAAAAGCGTCGTCGGTTGTGTCTGTAGAGTAACGCGAAAAGTCACGTCGAACGTGGTTACTTTACTTTCTTCCCCTTTTTTTCTTCTTCTTTTTTTTTGCTGGAAAGGAAGTAATTAATACGCTCTCGATCGGGCACAGAGAAAATCAAGCGTCGGCGTCTCCTTTGCAGAAAGATCCAAAATTTTGCCGGATCGTTACTTTTTACATTACCGAAGAGAAATTCGAACGTTTTTCTAGGGTTAATCTTAATCGACGAGCGACAAAAAAACTCGCCACTGGTTGGCCCGATCGAAAAATAATCATCGAAGCGTTTCGCCTTCGGTGAATATATACGTACATACGCGACAGATTGGATATCCGTTTTGAATAATTCATTCGGGGGCGGGGGGGAGGGGGGGGGGCGAAAAATCAAGAGGCCGCTGCATATTCAAAAGAACCTGAGTAACCAGAGAGACCGGGCCCGGAGACTGCCGGGTCGTCAGATCGATTTTCTCGTGTGCCCGATCCGCCAGCCATCGGTCAATTAAAGTCCCAACACTTCCCTCCGTCGAAGGAGATTGTCCCGTTTGTAGTGTTGTAGTAATCTCTCGATTGTCCAGACAAAACTCTCTCCCCGCCGGATCCATTCTGTTTCCACACGGTCGCAGAAGTTCTCATACACGACACTTAATTGGACTAAATCCTAATCCTATGAACGACACACGGCGACGTTGGCGAGCGGATCGGGTCGGCCATGCGGAAGATCACGGATGGGCAAGGCCATCGCGCGGGACATTTTTTTTTTTTTAAGCTCGATGTTCGACGCATCCTCGAGAGTTCTTTCTTTCTCCCGGACGGGCGAGACGAGGAAAAGAAATTAAGAAAGAAAGAAATTAAGAAAGAAAGAAAAGAAAAACGACAAAGAGCGTCTAGGAGAAAGCGAGGGATGACGATGATCGTCGTCATCCTCGGCTCACAGTGGCTAAGGGGATCACAAACACACAAACGTTGTTGTTCGAACGAACACGCGAGCTGGTCGACACTTGAAACCGCGTTCAAACCGCGTACCGGGTGGCCAACGCGACGATCGTCGTCCGGGGATGTTATCATGTGCACCACGGGGACCCTGACGACCTAGCGAACGCCAAGCACGCGCCCGCAGTGGCCATTGTTACGCGCGGTGGCGACGTCGTTGAGGATGAGCCCGAGGTGCTGTCGTCCACCTCGAGGTCACTCTCGTTTCGAACACTCAACGAAACATTCTGCCAGCTGGTTGCCAGGCCACCCCAGCTCGCTCCGCCGAGCAGGTAGGTTAGAACGAGTAGAATGAGGCACCCACCTAGGCACCCGCCACTTCCAGGATCGATGCTACTGCAACCGCTTGTCTGGTTCTCGGTTGTCGGTTTTTGCACTTCCTGATGAGACACACACTCTACCTGCTGGCTACCCGTCCACGGGTCGCCCTCCACGACGTTGTGTCTCGCGCCGATCGCCGTGTTATCCACGCTCGCGTCCTGCTGGTTCACAGGCGGCAGCGGCTTGTCCTTGTCCAGATCGTCGTCGTCCAGCTCCAGCGACGTCTCCGTCCCGTAGAACACTAGCTTGAACTCCTCGAGGGTATCTGAAACCGGTCGTGGCGTTCTGTTAGATTTCGTTCTTCATCGAGCGAGAGATCGTGGGCCAATCGTGTGACAGACACATTGTTGAGCATGCTAGAACTCAAAGTGTCGGGTAGAGAAAAGAAAATACCTCGAAATGCCAACGGTGGCAGGCGATAGAATAGCGTAGAAATGTGCAGAAAAGAAAAATATCTACGTTCATAGACAGTGATAACGTACGTGTGGATTCTCAACTACCGTGCTGCAATTAACAATTTAGTCATTTTCTCGGAACAACAGTCTCGTGACAAATGCATTTCTTTTTTATTTCTGTGAACGAACTGAAAAAACGAAGCACATGCTGGACATCGCAGGAAACACTCTGTTTCCATTAAGTAACGTTTGAAGCAGTACGTCGAGCGAATCTTTCAACTGAAATATGCGCATAAGTTTGCCAGAACAGGTTGCAAAAACAAATTTGGAGATCGTGCTTGAATAAACTTCGCGATGTCTTTTTACCTTGCAATGACGCAGTACGGGGGATACTTTCTGCAACGTGTGTCTCATAAAAGGATTTCGTCGGAGGATTAATTTCAATTAAAATTTAATTTTCCAAAGTCTTACGGAGGATTTTAATTTCAATTTCCATCCAAGACACGAGGAACGCGTGCCCGGCAGCTCTTTTGCTCTCGGTGCGAATCGATTTTCAAACGAGCCGAACAAGATTTTCGCGGAAATATTCATTCCCCCGGCGAAACAATTAAACAAAGGAAACATCATTAATTAAGATGGATCAACGTTCTCTGGAATCATTTGTCTTCGAAACGCGATACGCTCGTGGTTTGTTTGTCCACCTTGACAAGTTCGGAAGAACGATGAATCATTATATCTCAAAAAACAATTTACGGTATTTCTTAAATCGATGACACGATTTAATGGTTTAATAGTTACAGACAGCAATTGTAAAAAGATATTTACTCGAGAATTGTGACTTAACATTTTATCATTATATCGTTGAAACTCGAATATCTTACCTTCGTCGAACGAATGTTTGCACAATATTTTCAAATCTCTCCTCACCTGCATCGTCAACATCTCGTGAAAATATTGAAATAATTATATAATTAAACAATTGCTATGTCTGCCGCGAGGGAACTATCACGAATTCGCGATAAATAAGCTTGAAAGCGTCTTCCGTGTTTTCTTAATATCACCGCGATCTGATGACAAATGGATGCTTCCATTTGACGTGGCACGAGTGCACTTTGCATTACAGACGCGCGCGGCCGCGCAAGCGTGAACAACCGTGCTTCATCACGAGGTGTTTGAGACGTTCGATGTACACGGATGACGTCGCGCAGCGGTGGAAAGACGGTGACAGTGAGGCGAAGCGGAAAGGATGTCAATGTCGTTGGCACTGCGACGATGCTCGAGGAATCTTGGCTCTAGCTTCGGAAATGGTAACCGGAAATCGATAAAATTGGAACGAATATTCCCGAGAAAATTTCGTCGCGATCCGGAAAACTTTTGCATTTCGAAATGCAAATTAAAGTTTAAACAAGAAGCGCCAAATTTTTCACGTAGGAGTGAAAAGAGTGCGCGTTATTTGAAACAACATTTAACAATATTGTTCGTGTACTATGGACTTTGCATACTGAACGTACACACGCACACATTCATGCATGCAAGCGAGTAATCTTACTTCAACAGCTTTTAACAACTTTTGAATTCGAACGCAACATTGGAAAGCGGAAATTTTCTATCTACAAGTTTTTCCAAAAAAAAAAAAAAAAAAAAAAAATAAAGTTTCGTCGAACGATAATGCGAGGACATGGAAAAATGCGAGTGGACATGCGGCAAAAGAAAAAAAAAATGTTTAAGTTAAAAGGTTCGTCTGCTACTGAAAGATACTGGCGAGTAATAATTTAGCGAATACAAATGTGAACGCAATCAGCGAACGCAATTGCTGAGGTTAGTTGAAATTAATTTTCGCCAATTTAAACGTCATCTTTTCTTTTACCTCCTCTTATCCTATAAAAAGACATCTTACGCGAAATAACAAGAAGTTCACAGAACTTTATAGAACGAAAAAGAACGTGTTAAAAATATCGCTGTGAATGAACTTGGAGATCGTGTCGAGAAATATACGGAGAAAAAAACGGAGCGATGGAAGGAAACATAAAAATGCAAATAAACATAAAAATTACCAACAAATTACATCGAGGTGCGCTTGCAACGGTACAGGAGCACGAGAGGGGGGAGAGGGGACAAGATATGTGTACAATATATGTGTATATACGAAAAATACTAAAAATCATGAAAATCGTGTCACTGAATTCTGCCATTGTCCACATGGATGCACAATGTCTATTTATACACAAATTGTTTTACTACTCTGGCGAGATGCGACAAACGAAACCGCGTGTAACGCACAGGTCCGTGGATGGCGCATGTTGCTACATCGCTCGCAATGAACGTTTTTTTCTTTCTTATCGCGTGTGCAGGAGAAAAATCGACGCTCGTGAAAAAAAATCGTTCGCTCGAAACGTGAGTTCCTGAGCTACGCCAGCAGTGAGCTACGTCTCTGACCGTCACGTTCTCAAAACCATTCCACGGATTGCTCGTTACCTCGGACCGTGGGTCCGCCAGCACTTTAACTAAAGAAGAATACCCTTGTCCAGGTTCTTGGAATCGAACTGCTCGTCCTGGAGCAATTCCAGGCCCTTGGCTCTGGTCGCGTGCTGCTGGCCGGCACCTCTAACCCCAGCGTAGACGGGATAGAGCGGATAGAGCTGTTGGATTTTAGGATACTGCTGGAAGATGGCCGGCACGTTGTTGATGGCAGGTTTCGCCGGTGGCTCCAAGAGTATCAGACCTCTCTGAAGGGGCGAGGCAGTCGCTGTGTCGGCGACTCTCTGCCTGTTGGTGACTTTGGTGATTGAAAGTTTGGTGGTGGTAGGCGGACTGGTCTGTGTGATCGTCACTGTGGTGGTGATAGGGCTGGGCGTGCTCCTTCCTCTGGGTCTCGACGTGATTAGGCGAACTTCACCGGCTAGGTTCGACGGCCCCCTCGCCACGGTCAAGCCCCTCAACGTTTGCACAGTGGGTTTCGGCGTTGGTTTATTGGCTGATTTGCCGTTTTTGTGCTGACCGCGCGCTTTGCTCTTCCTCTGCGACTGTATCTGAGCGTTGACCACGTACGGCGGGCTCAGGCTGCCGGGTTTCTCCGGCTTGTGTTGCGTCTGCTTGATCTTCGAGCTGGTCAGGAAGTTCTGCGCCTTCGAGAACACGGTTTCCCGTGGCTTCACGAACGGCCGCCTCGGTATGTTCATCCCGGCTGGATTGTACAACGCGTACTCCGTGCGATCGGGCAGCGTCGACGTCCCGTAGAAGATCAACGCCCACTCGTGAAGCGTCGCACGACCTGGCCGAATCGTCGGACGACAACAGGAGGCAGCAGGGAAAAGCAGCAATTCCAAAGTTTCGTTTTAGTACGACACGCGTGTCGCGAGCAAAAAATTGTAATCAATCGTACGATAAAGGTAAAAAGAAGAAAAGGTGCGAGTTATTCGTATCAGGAAATATAATTCGACGGACGTTATCTCGGTCGATTCCGTCCTCGGACCGAGTCTAGATCTATCTTTCCTCCAACGATTCAAAGGCAAATCCTCCCAGTGGAGAGTGTCGTGTAACCGAGGCTTATCGTCAGTGGCCGAGGATTAGAAAATCATTGACGACCAACAGGTGCAATACCCGAGGCTAGTGCAATATTGCTGTTGGCCGGTGACAACGACGGCAGAGCGGATCTCGCTAAGCAAGGTACAGGGGTAGTCAACGCAAACACCACGTGTAATGGTTTGAATACCTGTACTTGGAATGTATCCTGCATATTACGCGACATAATAGAACGAGGTTCTATCTTGCGCGCGGATACACCAGACTACAAGACTGTGCCTGGGATTACAGGCGCGCGTTAACTCAAACTTTATGCGCACATCGGCTTTAACGGGGCTTCTAGCTTCAAGTGGTACTGACGATTTCACCCTTGCGCAAGGTCAACCGCCTCAACTCCCACGAGATGGTTCACGAGAGATCCATCGCTGGCGAATGGACGCCGAGGGAACACACGCCTCGAACCGGGGGGAATTACACTCTTGGGAGATGATGCGGCAGCTTACTTGGTCCCACGTGCACCGTTTACGAGATACTCCCTTTATGTCCTCCAAGATCAAACGATAAGATAGCTGAACGTCAGAATCTATGGAACTCTGCTCGTGTAACTGTGTCAGCCTCTGTCACGTTTCACGGCTAATTTTATAATTCGTCCTTCTGTCGCATATCCTGATATCGTGCTCGGTGACATGTATCCCGTTTCAAGATGGTACGTTTGAAAGTATATCAGAATTTTCAACTGACTATAAGAAACCTACTCTATCACTTTAACGATGACGAAGACTTACAAATATCTGCATTGTGAATATATCTGATATATGTATGTAGAGAAAGAGAGAGAGAGAGAGAGAGAGAGAGAGAGAGAGAGAAAATGTTGAAAATTCTTAAAATGGAAGAATCATTAATGCTTGTAGAAACGATTCGATAGAAACGAGAGTATAAATTATCCTACTGTTCTCTCGCGAGAAGTGTAACAGGATAGAAACTCTTGGAAAAATTTCTGATACGAACGAGGTTATATACTCAATGTATCTGGAAATGCCGTGGTGCGATGAAAGGAAGGAACAAAAAGACGGACACAATGGACTTACCTTGGTATCGACCCTCATTGTGGATTTCAAGTTTCCACGTGCCGTGTGGCCTTTCTCCCCAAGTGTGAACAGACATAAATGGCCATTGATTGAAACCAGCCTTCGAGATGTCGTGAGGCCTTTTCGCGAGGAGGGTGCTCTTTGTGCCTTGCGGAGATGTTAGCTGTATCTGAAGATCTCCCCGTCTCGAGGCCATCAGCGAAACCTTTGCCTAGAAAGCATACATGCCGGATATTTATCTGGTCGATTTCCAGCTACACGAACATCGTGTAAGCGCTTTCCTTTCTCTCTCATCGACAGATAAAAATCTCACACAGGTAAAGTGTAATCTAGCTCTTAATCTCTTTCTCTTACAACAAAAATTCTGAACGAGGCGAGAATTTAGGGCAATTGCTGGTCTGAACGTGATCGAAACCGTCGCAAAGGAAAGCTATTAATTAACCTACTACTTACGCGAGTGACATGGCATGTACTTACCTGCACGTGCTCGAGAAAATTAACGCCGCTACACTCCTTGACGTGCAATTCCAGAGTCAGCTGGCTCTTTGGCGGTATCGGCCTGTACGCACATACAGAGATTTAGGTCAGCCGCATAGAAACGAAGTTCAGGGAAATTCCGCGACCTTATTTTATTTCGCTCTCCCCCCCCCCATCCTTTTCTTTTAAAATCGACACCGGACTGGAGAAAAACGATCGTGACTGTCGTTATTTTTACCGTCGATAAAATTCACCGATCCGGTTTCCGAACGGCCTTTGAAATCGGTCCGCGCTAAATCGGATACACGCGTTGCAGAAGCTATTTCCTGGCTGCCGGTTTATCGTCATCGTAGCAACGCGAAGTGAACAGGGGCACGTAGAGCGGAAATAGTGATGGATCGAATCGCCGAGTCAGATCTCACGCGATCATTTATTTCGCAAAGGTATATCCATCGACTCATAAATCGCGTTTAATATATTTTTCCGATTGACTCGACAAATCCTCCTTCCCGAGGATAACTTCACTTCAACACCCGTTAAGCACGGATCGACTAACCTGCCCATGTGTGGCGCTGAGACCTCGCATTTGTGCTGTTCAGGCACCGTCCGCCATCTTCTGGCCAGCCGTACCATAGCTGCGGCGTCCATCAGCCCGTAGCCGAAACTGTGACTCACTAAACCGAGATTCGACCATTGTCGTGAGTTGAAAACTCTAATAGAACATTGAGAGACAGACTCACCGTTTCTTCCAACGCCGTTCGTTACCCAATCCATGGCCTTGAGGTTGGCAGGCTTCGCTGTCCTGACGACGATGTGCTGCATGTCCCTCCAAGTCAACTCTTTGTTCGCCTCGAGGGCAAGGGCGCAGATGCCAGCGGCCAACGGCGCCGATGCCGACGTGCCGGTGTGACTGCTCGTGCAGAGGTGATGCAGATCAGTGGTCACCACTTGCTTCTCACCCGACGAGCCGGAACTGTAGGTGGTGGCGAGTGTGGAGGAACAGGCCTCGCTGTACCAAGGCACCTGGCCGTTCTCCGTCGCGCTGCTGATGGACAACGTCCAGATACTGTTCGTGTAACCGTCGCAGTTGCAATTGTCGTGATCCCTGCCACCGTTCCCTGACGCCCAGACGAAAATCGACCCTTTACCGTTGCGACCCTGACGATCAAAGCGACGAATTTAAGCGAGGCGTCACTCTCAACCGCCTTTCGCATGTCGCCGAAAGGTTCGATCGATCGGTTCTTGAGCAGACCGTTCGCTTTCACTCCCCTAACCCAAATCTTCCATAATTTCACTCTTTTACTCTCGACAATGAACTTACCTGCGAGCGTTTCTTTTTTTTTTTTTTTTTTTTTTTTTTTTTTTAGAATTTTTTCCCCAT